CATGGACTACATTTGAGCTGGCCCCAAGTGGACATTACAAGTACTGCCTAGTCCTAGTGAACAATTTTTCTAAATGGGTAGAACTGTTTCCTACAAAACATCCAGATGTACTAACAGTAGCTAAAGCATTATGCAAAGATATAATTCCTTGTTATGGGATTCCAGAGAAAATCTATAGTGATAATGGAACACATTTTGTAAATCAGATAATAACCAAAATAGGCACTTTCTTAATTCTTCTGTGGAACCTTAACGTACTGCTTAGCACTCTAGTAATTCTACTGTGGTACCTGTTATAGAATACAGGTACCACAGGATCATATGGATGGACATCTTTAGCTAAGAAATGGATGAGTAGAATATCAGGGTTCACTGTTAACCATGCCTCCAAAGTTTTCAGTATGACAATAAACTCAACAGCAAAACCCCTTGAGAAGGAAGGCTGTTCTTCCTCATTTATATGTGCACGGTCTAGTGAAACCGATCCATGTTGGACATTGTATCTGTGCTCTGCAAATGTTACACAAGAAGAAAATGAGATACAAGGGATTCTTACTTCTGCCCAAGCTGAACAGATAAAAATTCAAAATATTAATGACCCGCTTAAAACGGATGAATTGTTTCAAGTCACCACTGGAATCTCTGGGCAAACAAACAACTGGCTTTTAATGGCAGAACAAGCAGCTAAAACAGTGTCCACTGATTGTCTTGTATGTATGGGAGCCAGACCATTGTTACGCGTGGTTCCTGTTACCATAACTCCTCAAAGTCTTCTAAATATAATGAATTATACAGTTCCAACTGATAATTGCACCTATTGGGATAAGATCTATCCCCTGACCACAGATGAGAAGAAAAAAACAATCTTTTTGAAGAAAGTGGCTGTGGCAAATTTCACCTGTGTAAGCAGGACCAGAGTAGGCCCAAAATTGGGTACACTAAATGAAAAACAATGTGCAAGCATTTTACTGGTATCCACCTTTTTAAACCTCAATCCCGCAGTGACATCTGGTGGTGGTGTGGAGATGACAGATTGTTTGACAGACTTCCATGTAACACCACTGGATTGTGTGCTGCAGTCACCTTGATTTTACCTGTTTCTGTTACATCACTCACAACGGATGAATTGTTAACGACTGCAAACAGCATTTTACCTCACACAGAGCATACTAGAAGGAGGAGGGCATCTGAAAATGCATGGAGTGGAGATGACCCTACTTATATTGATAGCATTGGTGTACCCAGAGGTGTTCCTGATGAGTATAAACTAGCCAATCAAGTTTCTGCAGGATTTGAATCTTTCTTATGCTGGTGGTGTACTCTAAATAAAAATGTAGACAGGATCAACTACATCCAATTTTAACGTCCAGAGGCTGGGAAATA